AAAACATCCCTAGAACATAAGTCTCACATGTAGTGACGTCTATAACTACTTTTTTTCATTTAACAATTAATAAATGCCGATCAAATCAGACCATGTTATCCATACCATTTATAAGTTTTATCCAAATAAACAATTTTTAAATTTAAATTCAAGACTTTCAATATCTGATGATTACTTTTTTAATTATTGAATTCGGACATCCATTCAAGATATCATGAAATTAAAATAAAAGTACATGCCGGCGGCGGCCGCCACGCCGCGATCGAGTTAGTCTGTGTGTGGGCTTAGTGACGCGAGCGACATTGTTTATTCGTTTTTTTTTACATTCTAGCTTCACTTAAAAATTTTTTTCAGAGCTACTTAGTTTTAGTGTAAGGAATTACACTTTGCATAATATTGTCAAAGTTTTTTTCGGAATTATCTCTTTGAACTTCAATATCCATCTACGAATAACAGTCAAGCGCCGAGCGCTTGCAGCGAAAGCGAAAAGAGCTAGAAATCCCCGAACGGTGTACGGGACTCTAACACTGAACGCTCGCAGCGCTTCTAAACCAGCAAGATAGACCACGGTCGTTAATAGAGAGGACGCCAATACATTTTTTTCTAATTTAGGAGAATGGGCATTTTAATTAATGCTTATAATTAAATATTGTATTATTTGTCCACCCGTGCGAAGCCGATAGGGCCTCTAGTTATATATATATTTTTTCCAAACAACATCCTCTGGATGTCCGTCGTTCTTGCGAGTTGATTTTAAAATTATAGATATATACAGTCGTAAACAGATTCAAGGGACAATCACACTTTTATACATATTTTTTTGATTCCCTAACCGTTGTCGCAACAGCATTCATAAAAGATGAATCATTTTTCCACATTTTCTCCCATATTTAAATGTTTCCCTATTTTATCCTCATTTCTCCCTTTATAGCCTAAAACCTTTCTCGATAAATGATGTATCCAAACTAAAAATAAATTTTCAATTCGAACCAGTAGTTTCTGAGATTTAAATAAACAAACAAGCGAACTCTTCAGCTTTATAATATCTATTTAACCTCTCCGCTAAAAAATACTTCTAAAGTGACCTCTACCCATCCATTAAAAATATACGTTATCGAAGATAAGCATTTTCTAATCGCTGATAAGAGCTATTGAGTTCGAAAGATTTCCTCTCGAAAAATTCTAGCGCCACATGAGAGAATTTTCTTATTAAAATTGCTTATACCTATTGTCTATAATTTACGGAAGAAAACACATACAATACACATTTAAAATAAACCACTTTTAACAGTTTAATACTCATAATGCCGATCTTTAGTCCCTCCGTGACCACATCCGATATGCGTTGCAAGCTGACCGACTTGACTTGTGGTCACCTTCGTAGTTACAATAAATTGTAAATAAGTTAACTAGTACATTTCGCGTTAAAAACAGTTAATTGTGTTTTATTTAAATTGCTTATATCTATTGGCTTCACCAAATACCAACTACGAGGGAACAGATTTTATTTTATTTATTTACAGCAATTAACACACACACATATTTAAACAATAACAATTAAAAATAGGTTATTACAAATTACATTAGGAGATAATTTCAAAGGCAGACAATTCTTTTAGTATTGGTGACCAATCATCTGCGAAGAGGTCACATTTGGGTCTTAACTCGAGGAGAGCGTTGAGTGAGGTCAAAATTCGCGGTATCGGCGAAAACTCGCGGGCGGAGGTGCGACCTTTTGACGGGACGTCAAACAAATCGTGTCTTACTTATAGTTAATTGCTCGCGAGATCTGCGATTTTCCAAAGAATTAAAACCAAGCTGTCCTAGTAAGTCCAGATGGCACTAGCGCAGTAGATTTTACTCTGACATCAGAGACAGTCACCATAGTTAGTCTCCCCGTGACCATAGCTGCTGCAAAGCGTCCAAAACGTCGGGTCGTAATTACATTAAATTGTAAATAAGTTACCTACAACATTTCACGTTTTAAACCATTTAAAGTGTTTTATTTAAATGACTTATATCCATTGAGTTCAGCCCAATATCACCAAAAACCTTTATGAACAATTTCCATACAGGAAGGGACGTGCGTGTATAAATCCCAATTAATAAACGGAATAGCAATTAATATGCATACAAAAACGTGCGTACTTTAATATGCGCGATATTCAAATTTTCGGGGGAACATATCAAATGTGGCGCTATAAAAGTAGCGTTAGTAGCCTACATATTTAGACAGGTGATTTTAATATTCACCTAAAGACGATAATGAGAAAGAGGAAATGATTTTGCCTGTGTATTTGTGCGCTCTAATGAAACGCTGAAATAAGAAACATGGTGGGACCGTTGGCCTAATGGTTACAATGTACAGACGTGAGTTCGATCCCCACGGAAAAGACGTTTCTAATCAGTTTATAATTTTTGATACATGTTGGACTTCGTCTGGAAATCTGGATATTAAATGCTGGTGGTAGGAATATCGAAATTCCGTCCAGGTCCAGGTGTGATTTCGAATATCCAAAGACAAAAAAGGGCGATAGCGAATCATGTTTAGATGGCTGGGGTATTTCACCATCAAATCAACCCCGTGCTTGTATCATATAACTCTTATATCACGAAAAACTAGTACTAAAATAGTGTTAAATTGATTCCATATAATGCAAAAAGCACATAACAAAAAATCATCAGACAAGACGCATTTTCAAAGAACACTCTATACACCACTATATGTAAAGTGAAATCCCGTTTCCCCCTAGTGGGGCATGGGGCGAACGCACATTTGTGTTTATTTCACTGATCCGTTCTTTAACAAGTAGTTGATCTGACTTCTGTGCCCTGCCTGACCGAAACAATTTTTTGTTTTCCTGGAATTCGAATTGGGATTTGGCTACAGAAGCGGCCACTATGTGTAGATCACGTTTTTTAAATACAATAAAATTTCCCGCTTGGCTGCGTTGTCGAAACAAATTTTATATTTTAATTTTATAAACCTTAATACTCGTTTGGCTAACTTAATTTATATCATTAATGACCTAAATATTTTGACCGCATAAAATTATTGTGTATACAAATAACAATTTAATTTAATTGATTTTCCGTTAGGGATATCGATAAGGAAATATTATACGAGTTGTTATTATTTTAATGATAATATAATTAATTTAAAAATGAAATGAATTTATAAATTGTTGGTCACGACAACGACTACAGCCCTAACAAATCTTATTATGTTTTAAAATTCGTTGAGTTACTGCTTATAAAATGTATAGTTTTTTATCTTTACTTGTAATTATGTTTTAAGCTATTGTAAGCTGGAAAAAATAAATAGTTGTTTTTTTATGGGCATGTTATTATGGACCACGGCACGAGTGTGCGGCTTGGTACAGAACTTGGCAAAGTAAAGTCCCGTAATCTTCTGTGCCTTGCACGACCGAAATTACATTTCCCTAGCATCCGAAACCTACGCAGTTACTAGTGAATAAATAAGTATCAATTAGGAATACGTTGAGCCACGTTAATTTTAAGCGAATCCCGAACCGTAACTCTTGACGTAAATCCGAAATGTCCTATGAAGTTTAAATGCAAAACGCATCGCTTTTAGCCGAGATTAGGGTCTAAACCCGAAATAATGTATTCATCGATACTTCAAAAGGACTGAAGGCTGCCTTGGGTATAAATGAAAATGCTCAAACCTTCACCTTTGCGCGAAAACACATTTGTGAAATATTAGTACACAAATTTCCGTGACTACCTCAAATATACTTTGCGGTATTGTATTTTCTCTTCAAACAATAAGTTAGTCAGAATTGTGTGTGTGAGCTTCTTAAATCTTAAATCAAAACGATGACTAATAGTATTTTAGAAATATTAAACAAGAAACTTTAATATTAAATACTGTCTGTAGTTTACGCGAGTAGTTACACGTTTTTGAAAAGAACCCCCCCCCCCCCGGGGGGGGAAAAAAAAAAAAAAAAAAAAAAAAAAAAAAAAAAAAAAGGGGGGGGGAGGGGGGGTATATTTTTTTAAAAAAAAAAAAAAAAAAAAAAAAAAAAAAAAAAAAAAAGGGGGGGGGGGGGGGGGGGGGGGGGGGGGGGGGGGGGGGGGGGGGGGGGGGGGGGGGGGCCCCCCGGGGGGGGGGGGGGGGGGGGGGGGGGGGGGGGGGGGAAAAAAAAAAAAAAAAAAAAAAAAAAAAAAAAAAAAAAAAAAAAAAAAAAAAAAAAAAAAAAAAAAAGGGAGGGGGGGGGGGGGGGGCGGGGCGGGGGGGGGGGGGGGGGGGGGGGGGGGGGGGGGGGGGGGGGGGGGGGGGGGGGGGGGGGGGGGGGGGAGGGGGAAAAAACCCAAAAAGGGGGGGGGGGGGGGGGGGGGGGGGGGGGGAAGAAAAAAAAAAAAAAAAAAAAAAAAAAAAAACCCACCCCCCCCCCCCCGGGGGTGGGGGGGGGGGGGTTTGGGGGGGGGGGGGGGGGGGGGTTTTCCCCCTCTTTTCCCCCTTTTATAAAAAAAAAAAAAAAAAAAAAAAAAAAAAAAAAAAAAAAAAAAGGGGGGGCGGGGGGGGGGGAAAAACACCCCCCGTCCATAAAAAGGAAAAAAAAACAAACCAAAACGTTTTATGGTGTGCTATAAATAAAACACTTTAACGGTTTAAAACGCGATATATTAGTTAAACTTATTTAATACCCGCTAACCACGGCTGCCGCAAAGTATCCCAAACGTCGGGCTGAAGTTAAAAATGTTTACCAAGTAAGTTTAACTAATATATCGTTATAACTATTTATATATATATAACTAGGTTAATATAGACAGTATTTAACTAATTTTTGTCCAGATGATCAGTAAAACGGACGTAAAAATGTGTTCGCTTTATGTTCCAGAGCAAGAAGCGACATTTAACACCATTTCTCACCTTCATTTAATAACATCTTTAAAATATAGTGTATCGATATATCAAGTTAATTCCACTTGAAGTGAACTTGCCCGTCTACTCTCCCACATATTATATCGTCATTATGAAGGTAAAGACAGGTAAACATTCTGCACCCGACTGTACACTACGAATTCTCGGAATAACACTATTAAACTATTATAAAAGATATGACGTTCATATATAACCTCCTCAAAATTACACGTGTTAAAAGTTTCCATGAGGTGCGGTATAAGGAGTTTCTACTGACTTCTTTCAAATAGGCATTATCTTGTAAGAAGACAGGTACCGGGCCAAAAGTGGGCATAATTATACAGTTCTCTTCATTATCTTATTAAGATTATCCGGCAAACGTTGTGTGGTATTTGATTGAACATTAATATGTTCATATTCAAATAATTCTATAATTACGACCACATTACCATAAAAACGATTCTTGCGTGTTAATCTTAAAAGATAGACATATATTTTCCCGGACATTTTTTGAACGGTTTTCGAAGCGCACGCAACAGAAGCCTCCAAGTAGGAGTGCTTTTCCCGTTTTTTCCACATTTCCCATTGTTTTGTTATATTTATTGCAGCGAGATAATACGGGGGAATTTCAAGAAGAAAGCTTCATAATGTTATTAGTACAAAAAGTTAGTTACACTGTTGTTTTAATAAAAATCTAAATTGTACGTAGTACATTTTAAATCAATTAATAACGTTTGAGGTAAATCTATCTTAATAAAAAAATAATTTAACAAAAATACATTTTTAACTTCAAATACTCTTACATAACTATAGAACCAGAGAGGCGGTGTGTTTTAGAATAGAGATTACTATAAACTGTATAGCGTTTTCCAAAACCCGTGTAAATTTGTCACCACTTCTTGAAATCTTTCCAAGAATCTTTCAGTACGGATCGGTATCTTGAAAAGTTACGTGGGTGCTAAAAGTTGCATAAAATTCATGCAAATAATTACGGCATATGCCCACTTACATGGTTTAATGCGATCATTATAGAGATTTGTGTTGTTTCGCTCGCTTTGCATATAAGCATAGGCTTTGTATGAATAATACGGCATAGAGTCACGACAGGGTTGTTAAACCTTAACACTTGCATAATTTATTTCTATAGAAGGGATTGTCAACATTTTTATACAATTATAACTAGGGTGCCCATTTTGCGGCAAAAATAGAATTTATAAAGGCGGAGCTATAAAAATTACAGAGAAACACAATATACCTAAAAAGTAGATCGAATCAACCTATTGTTTCCCCTGGATTCGAACTCAAGACCACTCGCACTTAGATGCTAATGGAATCGTTTAACCATTTAGCTACAAAGGGATTATAAAAACTGTAGTTAGTTTTAAAAAATATAGTATTTCATGAAAAATTATTTAAAAGCAGTCAAAAAGCAAATTTTTAATTTTAGATTTATTTGTTACTTTTCGGTGTTCGGGTTACCTACGATCCCAATATTAGGTTCCCATCATTCGAAAATTGTTACCTCTTACGACATCTCGTCCATACTAATATTATAAAGCTGAAGAGTTCGTTTGTTTGTTTGAACGCGCTATGTCAGGAACTACTGGTTCGAATTGAACGATTCTTTTCTTTTGTTAAAAACCACGCTGCAACCAATATGAGCGAAGGATCGTTAGGAAATGTAGACGAAACTGCAAAACGGTTCAATATACCCAAAAATACTATTCTAAGCTGTTTCAAATAATATTTGAGCTAAGCTGACTGGCAAAAGCACACAGCTTTGGTCAAACAAATAAGTCGGTCATTCAAGTACACGAACTGACCTGAATATCTTGCAAAGCGATAAATATGGAGTTGTCAAACAATGCAGACCAGGCTTTACAACGCTGAATAAATTTGAGTCATTAATGCAAGAATTCCGTGCCAATAGCTACTCGTTAAGCCACTTCGAATCAACCTAACCTAAATCTACCCTCTTTTTCGTGACCTAAATTTCACATGTGTCATAAAAAGGGAAAATTTAAGAGCTATGATTCCAAAGTTAATATTCTTCGCTTTAGCATGGTATTTTTTCTCCAATTGTGATCCTGTTTTGACTTATGTCACGGTTTAAAACGCGAAATGTACTCATCTGTACGAGAACAAAATGATCGTGTTTAAGTGCTTTTAGCAATACATAAATTAAGATCATAAATGTGAAACGAGAAAAGTTAAATTGACTCATTATTTAGTAGTTATTTTATTGACCTCTATGTGTGATTAAGAAATCTCTAGGGTAAACATAGTTATTAATTATATAGATAAGCTATCTTATAATATACACTACTAAACTTATTTATTTAATCATTAAAATTACAACAAAACTAGATATATATATATAAAAAAAAATGGAAAGCTTATCTAAAGTTTTATTTTTTATTTATTTATTTATACGCCATAGCGTTATTTCTTAGAATTTGAATAAGTAATGCACATATAAGATCAAACTATTTGATTACACTCCACGGATGCCCATAAGAGTTTACAGTAATTATACTATAATATATCTTTTTTTTTCAGATCTCAAAGTGGAAGGCTACCCGACCATGGTATGGTTTCACGGAGGCAATTTCGTACGCGGCAGTCCAAACGCGATCAATCCCTTCCAACTAGTTCTCAAGCAAAAGGTAAAATTAAATAAGCCTATGCAAACCTGCCGGTAAAATCCAAGTTGAAACTTTTACACCCTCCTCCAAACATAATGCTTACGTAATTTAGGCAATCAGTGAAGTTTGACATAATTTCATAAAGTATTCATATTTTCAGGTTATATTTGTCTCCGTGGCTTACCGGCTGAATATTTTTGGATTTTTCTCGACCCTGGATAATGAAGCGCCGGGCAATTTCGGCTTATTGGATCAGGTCGCTTCTTTGAACTGGGTCAAAAATAACATCGCGAGTTTCGGAGGCGACCCCGACAACGTTTGCATCTTCGGTCACGACGCCGGCGCAGTCAGCGTGGGACTCCATTTAATCTCGTCTTATTCTTCAGGACTCTTCCAGAAAGCGATCGCGATGAGCGGAAACGTTCTGTCACCCGACACAGTAAACATAGCACGAAAGGAAATTATAACGGTCGACAAAGTCGCCACTGCCTTCAGCTGTTTCAGAAAGCCGACCTACCAATTACTAGATTGTCTCAGACGGGTCAACTACCAAGCGCTTCTGGACATCGGCGAACCCTTGGCCGAATGGAAACCGCTCGTTGACAACGGTTTCAGTAACATTTCACTACCGTTCCTCACCGATTTGCCGAGCAAAATGTTTGCGGACGAAATATTCAGTCCGGTCCCGATTCTAACAGGTTACACAAACATGGAAGATGCTCTGTTATTAGATAAAGACGGGAGCGAAGACTCGGGCATAAGTCAGAGGGAATTCGACGTTATGCGCGAGGAAGTTGTCCTATCCGATATCACGGTGGACAATAGTTCATGTTTCACCAATCAGCACCATATTCAGGACGCAGTAGCATTTTTCTACAAACCTATTCCGCCGACGACAAACGAGACCGTTTTGAGGAAACTCTTTCTTGATTTCTACACGGATAAAGTGTATGGAGCGACGACGTATCAACTAGCTAAGTATATAAGTAAGCACGCTCCTATTTATTTGTACCGTTTCGATTTGAAGCCCTTTTCTGACGTCGCAAATGATGGTATACCGGATTGGGTGGCCGTTCCTCACAACTTCGATTTAATTTTCGCATTCGGCATGCCATATTTGCCCCTGCCCGAAGACCTAAATAAATGGGACTATAGAGACAAAAGCATATCGGATATCATAATGAAAATGTGGACAAACTTCGCCTGGTATTCGAATCCGACGAATTCTGGCGTAATTATCCAGTGGGATCCTTTTGAGGTGGAAAAGCCAGGTTTCTTCATAATAGACAGGAAAAATTTCACGATGAGCACACCGGAAACTGTCAACTACAAAGCGTTCGAGTTCTGGACGGACTTTTATCCTAAAGTCGTGGAAATAGGTACAAAGTGCTGTAAGGAAGTGCAAGATGATTCATCAGCCAATATGACACGGATAAATAGATATTTGCACTTTGGATTGTTAATTTATTTTATTTTATCGTTAATAAATTAACTAATGTTGTATTTTAAAATTTATTTTTATATGTAATCTATGTTTTAATAATAATTATTGATTATATATTACAAATGATACTCTATTGTAAATGCATGTCTATAAAGAAATATTTACTTTTTTGAAAATATTAAATACATAGTAATTTAAGACGGAATTTTATTTTACAAAAATATACAGACCGAAATATGTAGGGTATCTATTTTAACGTTATATCTATGATAAAGCCATATTTATAAGAGAAACATAAAAAGTAAAACTACCGATAGTTTCATTAAAACTGGTTTTAAAATTCGGGTCTGAGGGGATCACCTTAAAATTTCAACAACGCTTAGGTATCGAATTTAGCAGCGCTGTTTTCTTTGTTTATAAAGAGCCTTATAGTGGGATTATAATTTTTTGATAACCTGTAGTTACTGCTTTGCCTGGTGCCGAAGCCGGTTTATTAAATGCATTGGAGGTTAAATTAAATTTGCTCAAACATACTAATCGAAATTTTGTTGCGTAACTTGTTGTTAATTTTTTATCATTATTTATAATTATAATTCGAAAAAACTCTCTGCAACTAAAGTCTATTACCGAACAAAAGAAAGATGCGTAACATTAATACATCGGTAACTTTATTAAAGAAAACAATATTATTTATTAAGATTCCGTAATTATAGAGTTCAAAATAACTTTCACTTGTAGTATGTCGTTTCGTTCATCAGTTGTACAGCTGGACAGATTTAATTTAACAGATGTCAAAACGAATTGTTTATTTGTATCTAGTATAAAGTGAAAAAAATTTAGAACGGCAGGCATTCGTACTGTGCATCATCCGTACGGAATGCATGCCGGTTGGATGAATGGATGGATGGTCTAACCAATTGAGCTATGGTGTCATTTATACATTTACAGTAATAGAGCGTCACTACCAATAGACTAATCAACTATTCAGTTTACTAAAAAATATTTTAAACGGTTTGAAATGCTAATTAGATAACTTATTTTAAACCGTTAAAAGTTTATTAACCTCGCGTTTCTCGCTATTTCTTTATGGCAGGGGTAGTAACTTACTGTAAGTTAGAAAATTATAAATTTCTAATTTTCTCTAAGTGATAAAGAAAGGAGGGGTTGGAGGTTTTAAGATAGAGGAGGCAGATAAGCAAGGAGTTCACTTGATGGTCGGTGAAATAGAACATCTAAACAAGATGCGCTGTCGGCCTATTTTGGCTTTGGATATTCTCGTGATAGAGAAAGTAGGTGTTATTGAAAAGCATGAGCCTACTTTCGGTTTTCGATCAACAAAGTCAAATAAACAAACCCGACGCTGGATTTCCCATTTAACGACTCATACTACGAAGTGACTATAACGGGAAATTACAAAGATATTCGCATGTTTTTGCTTCACACTTGAATATATACGTCAGTCGTGTTTTAATCGTGTACATAAACAGATGTGTTACTAAACTTAAGAACAGAAACAGCCATGGTAAGTGTTATCTGGGTTACTGCAGTTTTTTAACTTTGCCTAAGTAAGGCAGTAAGTTATTAATTAATATTTCGTTTATTATTATACTTAAAATTGCATCTTTTTAAAAGACGGAGGTCATTATTTAAGCTTAAATTCTGGGTCGTTTTGAGTTCGTGTTAGCGCGGCATAAACGACGACAGGTATACCTACTTTAATAATATCTTTATGTAGGACAGTTTTAGATTTTATTCTTAATCGGCGAGATTTTTTATAAGATACAAAAACGGTATGTACTAAATAACAATAAAGTTGCTGTTGCTAACATAATTAAACTTCTGTTTAAACATAAAATAAATTAAATGTCATGTTCGTAATTACACATTATTAAACGACTATAGGTAATCCTCAACCTTCAGCAAAAACTTGATTGTGCAATAAATAAAAAACACTCGTAAATAATTCGTTTGACTTCTTTTTTATTAGTTAACTAATCACAAACAGTGTTTTGTTTTTGTACACTTTTTCCTGTTCGTCTTGTTTAAAGAGATCTATATATGTACTCTGTATAGGGATATAATGTTATCTATATAAACTCAGGCCAAATGTCTTGTTTATTATATAGCTTTTAATATGTTAGCTACATATTAAAAGCTATATAATATTTTATGTAAATATAATATTTAACTTTTCAAATACTCAAATCCATTCAGTGCGTTCTATTGAAAGAAAAGTAATATAACGTAGCATTTACTTAAAATTGATTAATTTGAGTTTAAGATGCTGCGGTATAATATAAAATATATAGTTAATAGCGTGCCAACAGTCAATAACTATAAGAGCCTATAGCACTTTAACGGTTTAAAACGCGGTAAATTACTTAAACTTATGCTGCAAAGCATCCGAAACGTCGGGCCGAAGTTAAAAACCATTTTCGATTTCGTAAGTTTAAATAATATATAGCGTTTTAAACCGTTAAAGTGTTTTATTAAAATGTGTACTACTCGCGTAAACTATAGACAGTATTTAACTATTATTGTTTCGCTATTATCATTATTATTATGTCCGAGATATTCATGTGCTATGTAGATATATAAAGATATTCCGTTTCCCACTTTAGGCCTAAGGCCTACACATTTTCATGTCCGTTTTACTCAAATACAAGCAAATTTATATTATCCCACGTTTAAACTCAGGAAATTTCCGGCTTTACGCAATTGTAGTCAACATTTTAAACCACTGAATCTATAAGTTATTAGTATCCGTCTGAGCATGTATACGTCCTAATCTTTGTTATTGTTCTGAAGGCAATGATATCTACATGGGCGTTTGTTTTGCTGGTGTTAGCGAGCTTGGTGTCATGTCAACGACCCTCGTTCGCTGGGTTCAGACCGATTGGTTATCCAGCGGTAGAAAAGCCCAGCAACGACGATTTGGGCAACAGGTATGTTATTTACTTACTTCTGTAATTTTCAAAGAGAAAATTCACTTTTGATATTTAATAAGTGTAGGTACAATTACCTCCCAGATAGTCCACCTTATTTATATTTATTTTTGCTTAAGTAGCAGACATATTTATGTGTCTGCTTTTATGATCTCATTTTCCTAGAATAAAATTATAATGTGTATATAAATATTTTGTTATATATGAAATAAAATACGTAAATATTTTTTTTTTTAAATTTCAAACTTAAAAGGTTTAATAGATGTTTTGTTTTATTTATATTTTATGTTTTGCGCTTTAAATTCATAAAGATATTTGCATTTGCGCTTGTTGATTGCAATACGGGGAAAACGAGAGAAGCTTCAAGTTTCCGCGAAATTTGTCTCTCCCATTAGCGACATTGTTATAACGAAGTATTTTAATCCTATTTCAAATAATAAACCATTTAATTTATCTGCTTATTAGTTACTAGATCTTCAGACGTGAATGTAGGGAGAGATGCATTATAAATCTATACTGATATATAAAGAGTTCGCTTGCTTATTTGTAAATAAGGAATGATTGTACTTTAAATGACCTCGACATTATGTCAATCTTTTAAGATTAACTTGCAAGAACGCGGTAACGCTTAAATTTAGATGAAGAGGAGGTTCGCACAAACGAATTCGGATGCCAAAAATAACTATTCTAAGCGGACGAATTAGCTGACACAGTTAGTATAGAATAATAAGAAACCAACAGAGATGCCCCGGAAATGCTCCTTCCTGCATACAAGTTCTTATATAAAAAATCTTCTTATATATATTTAAGTGATTCTATTTCCATTTACAGATTCGGCGAAGACGGCCAACCGTTGCCATTACCAGTAGAAGCCAACGGGGACCGAGACCTGGTAAACAGAATCAGCAAACTGCCAGTAGACAAACAACCGTTCTGGTACATCAATTGGAAAGCTCTAGAAGAGAACAGACGCAACCCGCAGACATACGAACTGAGGCCAAATGTGTTTGTGGACCCGTTAGCATCTAATGCTGCTGCAAACCAAGCCAATACCTTCAACCAAGGCAGTTCAACTATTAACCAAGCAGTACCTACCACTGCACCGGTTAATACTCAAGCAACGAACGACTTGAATTCAAGATTCAACACCGATTCCAGTCAGTCATCACAATCCCAAGAACAGCAATATTATCAGTACGTAGGAAGTAGAAATACTCATCGACACTATTAATATGAGTGGAATGATTAGAGAAGACTTGAGGCCGCTAGAGCCTGAGTAGCCTAACTGTAATTCTACGACTCGACTTATACTTTTATAGTCTAAAAATGTTAATCTACAAGAGCACAGTGTCCGAAAATTGTTAACATAATTATCACACAAATAATAGTACAAATTCATTTTCGCATTTTTATTTTCCACATTATTAAAAAATGTTATTAGGCCACTCTGTCTCTAGCAGTTTCATATAGTGATGTTTGTATGGCTGTTGCTTAACTGATATGATGAAATGTATCCTACAATGATAATTAATAATTTTAATATAAACGCTAAACTTATTCTTGTTTTTTATTTTTATAATTATAATGTGTCCTTGCACGTTGCCTGTTTTAGTTCCTTTTATATTATAGGCCTAAGACCGGCTGTAAATGCCCGGGCTCAATACAAATCATAATTTATAAAAAATGACTGTTAATAGACAATAAAAGGATATTATAAAATTGTGGATTAAACTCCCCTAACTCCCGCATTAACGCATACACTAAACAAAAATAAAACTCAATAATCAAGTAATAAAACACATTATATTGACTTTTAAATAAATAAACCTTAATTACTAAGCGTATACTTAAAATTACTTAGAAAAATATAAATCATAGCAAAATGCAATACTATCCGTCTAAAAAGTTTGACTCGAAAACATTGTTCGTTACGATACAACTACCCTACGTATTGTAAGGGATTAAAAAATTACGTGCTTAAAGACCAATTTCACCAAACAATAACGATTAGGAATAGGGGGGGTGTTAAATTTAAACTCTATATAAAGATAGTAGTAAAGTATGTTTCTTAGTGAAATTGTATCTTTATACCTACTATTTGAGGGTAGTTGCGAGAACTTCAGCAGAGCCTACATAACACAGCCCATATTGCATGTAACATCTATATTACAACCATTTTTAATGCTTTAAAGAACGTGTCTAGTCGTTGAGATTAATTACAACACTTATAAACAGAACGAGTGGTTGAAGACTCTTTGATCTTTTTGTGTTAGTTAAAGAAAACCAATCGATCGTCTTTAAATTTTAGTTAGATAATCTTTAACCTTTTCATAAATACAGGTCTTGCTTCATTAAATAATAATATTTGTTACTCTTTTCAATTTTAACAAATTGCGGAGCGCTGAATTCTAACAGATTATATCTCAGCATTTAAAACAAACGTGATGAGTCTTTTGTTCTAGGGAATAATTATCTGGTTATGACTCATTAACAGCTTAATTGACTTAAGCGATGGAAGGAATGTAACTACAATCTCTTTAAAGTTCCTAGTAAAATTCCACGGAATTTCAACAAACGTGTTAAATGTCACATCCGTTATTTGTGGATAATGAATTAATTTCAAGGGAAAAGAAACAGAAGACGAATAAGACGTAAGGGATTTTGAAACTTCTAAACAATTTCGGTTACCATTTTTTAGAAAAATAAGTTAGGTAATAGATCACGAGTCTCTTAGGCATCGAAAGTTAACAAAGGAATAATACTTGGAGATTATTAATATTTTTATAACAGTGGAGGACAGACACGCATTTAGTTGATGGAAGGTATAATACCCAAGACATATAATATCATAAAACGATGTGCTACGGTATTGTTGGATCCACTTTTTAATCTATGAAAGGTGGTTCGTGACCCGAGCAGAATTTTGATATTATACCATCCATTTAACATTCAGACATCAGACGATGTCTAACATGTTTCGGAAAATTACGAATTGATTATTAGTGATACCATAAGACCATCAAATAAAGTTTCAAATCAAAGTCTACAAAAACCTAGCATTATCAATTAAAATATGTACATAAGATTACTAACATAAGATACCATTGATTTGGTATTGATTATCACCTATATTATAAAATTAACAAGTTCTGGAGCCCTAAAGTTCTATTTTTGGTTGGCAAACATTGGTTTTTAAAAGGACATATTAAAGTCAGTTTGCCTCTCTTGGGCGCTGATATTAATCCTTTTACATCCAAAAAAAAATTGGGTTTAAAATTTATCTAATTTGAAGCTCGAATATACATACTTGCTTTATAAGGACGAAAGGATTAGGTTATGAACCTCTTACTAAAATATTGTAAATGAACCGTAAAATACGTTAGCATTTTAAAATTTACCTGTTTCGTCATTAAATATCGTTTGGTTTGCCTCTATATTTTACGCGAAAATCATTCACATATTAACTTCATATTTATCGGGCTTCACTCCATTGAACTTGTTTCATTTTAATATTTGGCTTGATATTTCGATTACTGCGTATTATACAGAAAATTCAGCTGCACAGACATTTAAACAGCATTTATATAAAAGAGGTTTACATTAAATCGTAAACAAACGTATTCTAAATAAAAAGTTATTTCTAGAGAACTAATGCATTGTTCCTTATGACTTTTCCTTATACCATCGTAAAATAATATAAGGTATGCCTTTGTTACATGTCACAACCTATATTAAGGCGTAATACGCAATATTATGCAATTAGTAAAAAATATAAAACGGTTCAATCATCTGTAAAATTAATTCGAAGTAAGCATACCTTATTTCATTCTACGACGACGTCAATAATTTAAAAACACAAATACATACCCTATTTAAATTAAAAAACACTAATAATACTATACAACTACTCCACTTGCAAACACTCAAATTAAGCTCGTGAACTCAAAATTAAAACAAACTGGGCAGTTCACCAATCACAACAATCAGCTTGGCTCAAAATTGTTCGTAGGTAGAACGAAACAACGAATAATTTAGTTCCTAGCTTCTGTATTTGAATAAAACGAATTTGAACTTCGAACTTAAATGCATTTGAAAACCTAATATTCTTATTTCAAAAAGGTCTACCAAAACTACTTTTTCTTATAACGTCACTTCTAAACAAGGAACTAAATTAACCGGTTGTCGGGCCCGAAAACAACTATCACTTCACTATATATTACCGGAGGACGAAATTCAAACAGGATATGATTAATACTATTGATAAACTTTGCATAGACGCGGATCCAGTTGTCGTCGTGACTGAGGGTAGTCGCATACTCTTGTAATGACAAGAGTTGTCCGCTGCATCGTTATGCGATAGTTTTGTGTAGTTGGGATAGTTCTGTATTTGGATGGGCTGAAACAATGAGAAAAAAATAATTAAAATAATGTACAAGACATATTATTTTATGTTATTTTGTAATAATGTAAAAGGAAAAAGAAGAAATGTTGCTATACATTTTTTAAAGGAATTTAATTGTTACTTGGCTTTGGTTCGACTAGTTAGGGGTAATTAAGGCGAGTGTCTTGAAATGCTAAGCAACGTCTTTAGATCCATAGTACGTACTGAGTTAGGCGAGTATTAGACTTTTTATCTCCGTTATGTGGCTGTTCGCATGTCGCGTAAAACAAAGGCTATGATAATAAAAGCCTTAACATCTATAATGAGAGAGCAGGATCAACGATGGCATCTTAATACATATTACTATACTAACATCTTATTAGGATGCGTTGTCGATGTCGAAAAAATAACTCACCGCTCCCCAAGAGTCGTCCCTCTTTTTACAGAAGGTCATGTGCCAGCCCATGTACAGCGTCTTCTCGATCTGTTCCGTGAGCAGAGGTTCCGACCAGGGCATTTCGTTCAGATGGGCCATGAATGTCTTGTTTCGGAATTCTGGAGGCTCTTTGATAACTAGACCCTCTGAAAATAGAAAAATTGTTAATATGTTACAACGGTTTGGTTTGGTTTTCAAATGACTTGCACATTTTTTGGGGCATTGCTTTATACTAAATAATCAATTAATTACATACATGCACAAACTTTAACGTTAATCTTGTTTTGATTTTCCGAGGACCTTTGACGCTTATTGCTTTAAGCGAAAAGGGTTTAGTGTTTATTGTATTGATTGAGTCATGAAAATTGGCGAAATAAGTAAAAGTCCTTAAGTATAGTAAAGTATTTAGCATTCTATTTCTGAAAGAGTAGTTTACTTACTCATTAATCCCACTCCTTGGTCGTCTCCCTGCATAGCAGATAGATCGGATTCGATTTCTTGAGGCAAACCTTCCAGATTCCTATAACATAATTTCTTATTATTACAACATACTCGTCAAAAGTTATCATTTTTATAATCTGCCAATTTGACAAATTCCCAACTTTACAGAAATCTATTAAAATAAGAAAGATAAGAACAGGTAAAATTCGCTATTCCACCCAAGTACTAAACATACTAGATTTTAGGTACATAGACTTTATACAAAGGAAAGGGAAAGTAAATATCGAAATTAATTCTACGTCTTGGTTAAAATTTTTGTGTCCTTACCCTGATGACAAGAAGATTTTCTCCACCTGCATCATGCTAAGACCATAAAACTCCTTGACGCCGAAGGTTTCAAAGAATTCCACGACAGGTGTCATCGAGTAGCATCCGGCGAGCTCTGTCCGAGGGTAGTAGAGGATGAAGGATAGACACATTTCCTGTAACAAATAAGGCGAATGAATGATGCTGTCTGTTTGAAAAGGGAAAGGGGCGTTTCTAATATTCTTTTAATAACTCAGAAAGCCTGTAGCAAAGAGTAGATATAAATGTTTTATTTATAGAAGCTGAAATAAACATAATATTAAGCCTATTGCTATTTCTTAATTGCTTTCAATTTAGAAGATAAAAAAAAAGACAGAAATCACTTTTTTGACGTCTGATTATATACTGAAGAACTGATAATATTTCAAATAGTAGGAAACGATCGCAAAATGCCTCGAATCAATCAGTCAATAGGTTATGTAATAAAATTGATAACCAAACATATACTATGCAGATGTATTGATGTCCAGCAACGACCTTTAATTCTAAACACTTATATATACTTAGAGTTGTGTTTTGATATTCAGAGATTAAACGGCAGAATATAAGTCTACCTAGCTTATTTAAGATCAATAGTTATTTTAATACAGAGGAGGACATACAAGCACGGGATTCACTTGATGGAAGGTGCAATACCCCAGCCATGTTACATCTAAACAAGTCAATATCTTTAATATTCGGAATTATTTAATAATTAAACGCTATTTTCCTCTACAAACAGTAGGTTTATTCCAAATATAGAATGCTCTGGCCACTGACCTGTGTCGCGGAATATCCTCCTAAAATTGGTTTATATCGCATGGTACTGTCATAAGTACATTCTGTTATCAAGGTATCCCGCCGGTGGAATTTTCTGCCACCAGGAACTATCCGGGACTGTTGGTAGCGGGCGTCGTATACATTTTCCTGTAAAATGTTTAGAATATGAAACACTGTATTTAGGTTATAGTTTTTCGTAGAGCGTAAAAATACGAAAGATAAAATTAAAATATATACAATATGAAATTTTTTCAAAAGCGCCATCTTTCGGTATTTACTCATATTAAAAGAGCGCATTTCAGTAGCAGCGGATATACTGAGTCTAAATTGTACGTGCAGATGGCGCTTTAAACAATAAATGTTTTTAATGAGATGTTATTTTGTCATTTCTTATAAAGCATATCTTTGTAATCAATACAAACCTCCGAGATTTTGGGGAGTTCTTCATTTCCTCTTATATGTTTTAAAGTAATTTTTCTGGCTGTGCCATGGGCGTGCAGTAAAACCGAAACGATGTTTATCCCTTCTTCTGGCATGGTCTGTAATACAAATTGTAAACTTTGTACAATTACAAGCCTATTTACAATTGACTTTATTTATACTAAGAACATGAGAATAAAATAATACTTATATAAAGATCGTTGCATTTAGCAACCTAGGCTTATATATCGAATACACGGCGCTACCGAACTACGAGTTAGACACGAGTTATATAAACTATTATCATAAAATGTGAAACGGACTAGTGTACACAGTATTTCATATATCTGATCCGAGCCTACTTTTAAAATTATGGCGCAAACAGAAATCAGTAAAAGACCGATTTAATTGCAATTGCTATGAACCAAGTAATGAAAAAACCTACTCATAATACGGTTGACTGTTCTCATTTTATATTAGAGCGAGTTTTTAATTCAACTCTGTGATTGATTTCACATTAATGTGAATACTTTTAGCTCCTATTTGTTACTGAGAACTATATTTACTAATCGAATGAACACGAAACCAATAAAAGGCTTTTAAAGAAGGTCAAGGATGGGACTAGACCTAGTTAATCAGATAACGAGTTCCAAAGATTTGCAGCAGATATAGAATAGGAGTTACTAGCCAAGTTCGTTGAATGGATGGGAATATCAAGAATACACCTTTCCGCAGACCGTAGTCCATAGTTCTAAGGGCTCATAAATTTTAGGAACGATTGAGGTATTTAGAAGGGATAGAATACAGATGTTGTAGAATATCACTAACGGTGTAGTAATCACGTCTAAGTCGGCGTTTTATTCGAAAAAATATTATACAGATTTTGAACAATCGTATTTTACGTGTTTATTGATTTTTTGTGAACGAACAAATTAATTTAAATAAAACATCTTTAACGGTTATAAAACCAATATTACTAAAACTAAAACTATTTTTAACTACGACCCGAAGTTTACGATGCATTGCAAATAGCGGCTCAACTAAAAACATTAGAATAATCAACACAATCTGAACGCGAAAAACAGTATGAAAACCATCTTTTAATGCGGATTCTAATGAAGTTAAAATCTCAAGAATGGGTGTAGAACTTATTGAGTTTTAAATGGGTAACAACATAACATACATTTTATATACGTAATTGTATTATATCGTATATTGATTATTGTAATTCATCATTTACTTACATTGTTAGTACATTCGGGGCTACATATGCCGACCGTTCGGTAAGCGCGTTGTTTGGGCGGGATGACATGAAGGGCGGAAACACCGACTCCGGAACCCAAAAGTGCAGCGTCGTGCGCCCTTAGTTGAGGCGTGTAGTGAATCCTTATTCCGGAATTATCAAGAACTGAAAACAAAGTATTACTTTATTATTTACTTGTACATTGAATTGGGATAACCAAAGTTAATGTGAACGAAGTATGAAGACACTGATCACACACACTAGACACATTTCAAAAAGTAAGGTGTAGATTTAATAAATTTATTCTTAGTTGACTATTAGAAAAAAATATTGTCACAATTTATAAGCATTACGTAAATTGACTACTTGTTTAAATTATTCTTAAATGTATAACTTATATATATTTTCAATGCAACATGTATTACTATGTCTGGAAATCAGGATATTGAATTTTGAATTATGAATCTGATCCGTCCGGGTTACGAACCACAGATAAAAATAAAACCGTGTTAATCTAGTAACGGTTTTAGTCTGTGGATGATATACCAGAATACTCCGTAAAACTTGCTTATTTTCTTTTGCAAATATTCATATAATGATTCTATACAAATTCCTCACTCTATCTTGTGTTGCCAGTATTCAAACAACAGGTGCCAATTAAACTATAACATGTTATAATTATCTGTATGTACTTGACTGTGGCTTAATTAGCGTTCACTTACCCTCATGTAACTCCTGGTTATCATAATGAACCTCCAACATGTAGTAGGAGACACCTCCTCGCTCGCCGAGAGGGATTCCAACGTTCTCCGGCAAGAATTCGCCTGTCGAACAAAATTAAACTTAATTAACATACAGTCATAGTTCACAATCCGATAGAACGACGTGCGCAGTACAAATTAATTAATTCCTAAGAAATTCTGCTTTAGACAGTTCATATCTTGAAATTAATAGACAATATTAGACAAACAATGTATCTGATAGTAATGGTGAAATTGGCATAAATACCATTTAAATAAAACACGTTTAACGGTTTACAATGCATTTTAAATACGGCCCGTTTCGGTAAAAATCGAGCAGTAGTAAAATAAATTAAAAGTTACATACATTTCAAACGTTTCGTATCAAACTGAAAAGATTATACAAAGCATCTTAAGTAACATATATACAAATATTAAGTAATATCTTCAGTACTATAAGTATTTTAAAGTAAATAATATACATATGTCTGGTATCAAATAGAAGAGTTTGTTTGTTTGAACCCTAATCTCAGGAACTATTCGTTCGAATTGAAAATTATTTTTGTGTTGAAAATTTATATAAGTTTGTAATTATAAAACATCAGAAGAAAAGTGTAAAAAATGTGCGTTTTGTTTTATTACCAAAAATATGTAAAATATAATAAACTAAAATATGTAAAAAAAACTAAATAGCAAGAACTATAGGATAGGCGTGGAATTAGGAGGACATTTGAGTAAAGAAAATTTTGATGTCTAAAATAACTATACTACGCGGAAAAAGTCGCTGGCACAGCTAGTAATATAATACGGGTGGGACTCGAACTCAAAACAACACCATGTTGTGTCTATACGAAGTATAATACTTAGACAGAACGCTTCGTGTTGTAGGTGTGTAGAGAATAGGCTTTTCATTTGTTTTATTTCCAGAAGGCAATAAAGTGCGAATCACGGATATAATCAATCCTAAATGTCCGTTCATTCCTTGCTCATCAATCAACGTCCTGAAAACAAAACCTCTTGCGTTGGCTGACCGCTTTTTGGACGCTGGGCTATCGGGATTTTACAGTTACAACGAGAGTGCCACATTTTTTTAGAAATTCGCCAAAATTTTAAGGAAACTCAACCCAGCTTTGACAATTCACAGGAAACTAAAAGAATGGATAAGCTTTAAATATTTGCCATTATTACCTAGGAAAAATAATTTCAATTATAAACTAAAAATAAATTTATGTAAATCTTTTTTCTTTTTAGATTTGAAATAATCATATATATAATATATAAGTGAAGAGTTTTTTTTTTTTAAACTAGTTGTGTTGGTTAGAACATTTATTGAGGAAAGTAGGTCAAGGCGATGTTTAAATAGGTTATAAAACATCGCTCTGTGACCAATGCAAGCGAAGATACAGCGAGAAACGTGAAAAAAAATGTATTTATTAATAGTCAATTTTTCATTAATATAGTTCCATCATGTGAAAAATATCAAAGTTTTCAAAAGATATACCTTTAGACCCCATGGCCCAAGCAGCGATTGGAGTGACACACGTGGCCAATTCCCCCGGACGACTTGGCCCGAAGAAGCCTTCCCCTTCCGCCCATTCCGACCACATCCTCTTATCGTGGTCGCCAGCACACTCGTACAAAACCATATGGTGTACTGGGGAAAGGCTATCCTTCTCTAACACTGGTTTTTTGTTGCGGATAGGCCGGCTGTCTATCAGAGGCTGGTAGCCAACTATGTGATGCTTCTTCAGGAGCTCTGGAGCCTTGAACACTTTGCACCAGAACAGTGTTGCCATTACATGAGGAATGGTAAGCTGGAATGGGATAAAGAGTAAGTTGCAGTTTTGTCTGTAAATGAGTTGTATTTATTTTAATAAAACAATTTCAACGGTTTAACACGCGAAATATTACGAGGAAACAGATGGCGCTAGCGTAGCATATTTGACTTTGTCATTAAGGACACCCCAACTTCGGTCCCCCACACATTGTAATTTTACGTAATTTTTACATTTTAAATTATTAGGTAATCAGTAGAAATATTATATTAATTAGCAAACCAATAGCTCGGTATGTCCGCTGGTTCGAGTCCCGTCTCTGCTGCCGACTGTTTAACGGTTAAGGAAAACCAGGGTCATGTATTTTAATACAACACATATATAACGGTTTAAAAAGCGAAATGTAATAGTTAACTTATTAACAACTCTATTTAAACTAAAAATATGTATACATGGACATAAAATATGTAAATATATCACGAGTTTTAAACCGTCAAAACTATTTTATTTAAAAGTGTACTACTCACATAAACTATAGACGACAAACTAGTTTCTGAATGCAACGTGATTTACGTAAAATTAAATTTTACTAGACGAATTAGTTGTGTGTGCATACGAGACGTACAAAAGAGTCCCCTTAGCTGTCTCTTCAAGAAAATAAAATGCAGCATCCAAAGAATGACGAAACTTTCTTAATAAAATTGTAGAGAATCTAATAAATCTTCTTTCCACTCTGTCACATATTAAATTTTAAACATTGTTTTAAGTGTCTTTATTAGTGAATTTTAATATGTGAAACTTTTAAATTGTCCTAACATTTAGCCGAGGAATATCTATTAATATTAAGAAAAAATAAATTAAAAATCCATTATAAATTGAAAAAAATTACGACTCCGGCAGGACTTGTACCGTCATCGTCAGCGTTTCGTCCTGTTGCTCTAACCAATTGATCTACCGAGTTAGAGTTGGTTAGACCAATAGCACGGAACGCTGATAATGCCGGTTTGAGTCTTGCCCGAGTCAATTTTTTTTTTATGTACTTTTAGTGACGCCATGTGCAATAACATGTGATAAATATAAAAAATAAGTTTTAAATTTTAATAAGGAATTATTACATTTATAATAATTTAAGCACGGACTTGACATCCTGAGCAAACTAGAGAATGTCTTTAAAAATCTTAATGACAGGATGCAATAAATAATCTTCATTATACAAGTTTTATCTCAGTATTTTAAGGTAATTATGAGAAATCTTATATATGTTACTTTCATTTTATTGCTATAATTAACGAAAATGGACTTAAGTAACCGTTATTACAAATACAGTGCATATATCTTAAAATTAAATTTCGTAATTTGTTTAAAGTTGTATAAAAACGCAAAAGAAACAACAAATATCATTTAAGGATTGTCTGTAGTTACGCGTTTAATTGAAACCAATATACCAATATACTTCGCGTTTTATACCGTTTAGAGTGAATTTAAACCTTATTTAGCTATTAATTGTGTATTGTTGAACAGACCAAAATGTTGTAATAAGACTATATAGATGCAAAGATTGTACAGTCTACAGATAATTTATTTTTACTTTTTTTGTCGTATAAACAATCTAATGATTACCTCTTTGTAAAAAAAATTCTAGCCGGTAATCAACTAAAGAAATATGTTTTTTATGATAGAAATGAACAGACGAGCACGGGGTTCGCTCGATGTTATTCGATTCGATGGAGGATGTTGTTATAAGACGAATATTCGATATTCTTACCACTTATTTAACATCAAAAATTTCAGACAAAGCCTATTATATTTTGGAAGAATTATAAATTGATTAAAAATAATTTTCTAACAAGTTAACTAAAATATATCGCGTTTTAAACCGTTAAAGTGTTTTATTTAAAGGATATAAGCTCTTAATAATGTGTCAAAGTATTTACATTAGCGATCCGCACATCCCAATGTTTGAGAGGGACGGTCTCCGGTTTCGACAGGGGCTGCAAAAGCCTCAAGGGTCTCGTTCCACTGTTGACATGCCTCGGCAGGTCTCCATCGGAACCTTCTGGACCTAGAGCCCAGAGGATCTGCGTCGTGTCGTCCTGTGAAAATCATTGATGTTATTTATTAGAATCGAAATTTAATAAATCTTATTTATCTCACCATTACATTAAAACTTAGAATTTGTAGTTAATGTCGTCAGAACTAAACAAAACAATAAATGTTACTAAGGACTATCTGTCGTTCATGTGAGTAGTACACATTTATATAAATCACTTTTAACGGTTTAAACGCGCAATTTTAAAACTTATTTACGGATCATAATAACTACGACGTTTTGGATCCTTTGAAAGTGTAAATAAGTTTCAATGATACATTACGCGTTTTAAACAATTAAAACTATTTTATTTAAATAGATAAGGCTAGTGTATGACTGTCTAGAGTGCTACGCTAGAAACAACCTAGAATTAAATTAATTTAATTTTAATTTTAAATGAATAAACTGTTCTACATACTTAGATAAATAAAAATATAGTTATGTAGAAACATAGATATATAATCTGTATTTCTACTCTTAGACTTTAGGCCTTTTGTAAAATCATATATTTATATAATCTAAATAATCTAATTCGCGAATTGTGAACCCAACACTCGCTTAACGCAATTTAATAAAGCTACCGAAACTAAATTATATTTATTGTAGTTGACCAGACTTTGAACTCTATAGCTAAAAGGTTAAACGTGTTGACTAGCATTGCGTTAGGAGGTCCTGGGTTCGCATTCCGGGGTACAATAGATCGGTCGGGCAGGACACAGATGTCTGGTTAACTACTTGTTCAGTGAAACGGACACAAAAATGTTCATCCTATGCAACACGAGAAGAAATGGGATTTCATATTTTGTTAATACTTATTTCCTTGAAATAAAACCCCTGACTAGGGTTTATATTTAACCATGGAGCTAGGGAGGTTACCAACATATATAGGTATTATTATTAATAACTATTTCATAAAATAGTTGGCTTTGGTATGCCATTTGCAATAGGACAGCATCTGAGGTATGAAACGAGAATAGATATGGAATTTAGCTCATAGTAGATATTATATGCAGCGTACGAGGCTTAGGAGAAACCGAAACGCCAAGACATTTCACGGTTCAGTTATCTGAGGATGGTGGTTCGGAAACGGAACGGCAGTTGGACGAAATCCTAAACTGCAGAAAATTTATTCCATTTTCGTAAGATATGGGACTCGTTGGGAATCGAAGCCACGACCCGCTGTCTATATTCATACATTAAACCCATCAAAATAAGTAGAAATTTAATCAGTTCTTTCCAAAATTCTAACTTTGTTATCGAGTAAAGAATATTCTATCACAAGCAAAGATAATTCCTCGTGAAAGCTTACTTACACCAATAACGAAGTCTTGCTTATCACACGTATCAAGTTGCCTCCTAAATTCTAGAGTCGTGTGGGTGTCGTTCTGATACCCAGAAATCAGCTCGTAGTTTTGGACTTCATCAGCCACCGCTCTGTCTTCGAAGGTTAGACCATGGCAATCCTAAAAAAAATAAAATATGATTAAACTCTTCAAGGAATATGGGCTTACGCTTAAGGTTCTATTACACCCGTATAGTCAATTTTAAACAAAACACTTTTAACGGTTTAAAACGCGAAATGTATTAGTTGAACTTATTTACATTAATTTAAAATAATTAATTTGTAAATAAGTCCAACTTTAGTCTCTCGCGCATCAAAAACGTCGGGCCACAGTTAAAAGAATTTGTTAATAAGTTTAAGCGTTTTTTTAAGTGCGTTGCACAATGATTTTTGTATCAAAATGTTAATCTTGAAATAGGTAAAGGATTTTTAGATGAAATGAATTAAACATGTCTTCTTTACCAATAAACATATAAAGAAAAGATTGAAATAAACTTCTTGTTAATATTAATAATATCATAATTATAATGATTTCAAAATTGTTCACGTTTAATTAGCCAATACATTTCATACATTTCGCCATAATGTAACGTGTTACCAGCAGCTGCTTCACTACTTTTCGATTTCAAATCTAAAAGAAACGTGGGTTCCATTCATAAATCAATTTTGACAAAAACGCCAATCTATTAAAACCAGTAGATCTGTAGCTGTTGTGTTCAACCCCTTAGAAAGATCCTATTCTTACACACATTGCCATGCGAATTTGTTCTTTATTACCATAATATAAGATACATCGTAGTTCTAACGGAACAGCTGATCGTAAGCAGATGCAAGTGTGCAATAAAGATAAGTGTATTTTTTATTCGGCAGATGTCGCTGGTCCTCAACGCACGTGCCACATGTCCCGCACCTGGCTCCACGCGTAATTAATTTATTTACCAAACGTCAATGTACCCAGGGGTCTACTCGGGGGTAGGGGGGGAAGGGTGCAGCTGGAGGCAGCAATCCTCCCCTGGACATCAAACATGCAGATACTTTTATGTAACGCTGAAAAGACCTAGGTATTTTACTAAGTCTTACGATAGGGGGGGGGGGAACCTCTGAGGACAGAAACTAAGTATGTAAAGTAAGGTAAAACGAGAGGGGGGTTGTCGCTAACGTGGCCAGAAGTTGAGTACGCCCATGAAGTTATCAATACCCATAAAAATGTTTTGAGCCCATAAAAAATTATATCACAAACCTTTATATAAAGGAAAATAAAAACGTTAAGTGTTAGGAATTTGTAAGTCGAACCTTAACTTTTTGCATATAAAAAGGCATGATATAAAAAGGATAACATGTTTTAGTTCTGAGCTACATTAGCTACATAAAGGCTTTTTCGACTACACTTGTCAGAGGAATTAAATACTGTCACTTTATCGGTTTAAAATGCGATATATTAGGTAAACTTATAGTAGAGGACTATATCTAACGACGAAGCCCAGTTTATATTTATTTTTTAAATATCACGAGTAACCTATCATATGATAGATAAACGGTAGTAAAAATAATAATTAGAGAAATAACTATGGTTTTTATTCATATTATGTATGTGCAATAAAAAGTGTAAAACAGCAAGTATAATAAAGCACAAGATAGCACAAGTCAGCGCAAGAAAAATTCCGATTACAATAATCTTTTGATTTTGAAATTTTAAAGGTTTGTTTATATCATACGTTATGTACAAAGTCGATTTTTAAAAGCTGCATTAAGTAATGTAATACAGTTAACGAAGATTTATTTTTATACACTATGCGTTGTTCTGGCAGCCGTAAAAAGCGATGTCCTTTGACCTAATTCATAATTCATGAATTCAAATGTTAGGGCAAATATGAATTTATAAACTTATTTCCATTTTATTGTCGTATGTTTAATTTTTTATAGTAAGCTTTAGCAGAATTACTTATGTGTATAATATTTTGATGAAATACTGAAGAATCTTTTAACAAGGACAAGCATTCATCTAATAGGAACAATTTAGAGACTGACACCGAAACGCGAATTTCGACGGCTTATAATCTGTGGATGGTGTTTCAATTATATATATATATAAGTAGTAGTAGTTTTTATAGTAGTAGGAGTAATGTGGTATTTATTTTTTAGTAAAAATTATATTTGTCTACTATAACCATGGCTGAAAAGCATCTAAAACTCCTGCTTTTATATATCGTGTCTTATTAGAACACGGAACGCTGTGGCCACCGGTTCAAGTCTCGCCCGTGTCGTTTTTTTTCTCTTTTATGTAATCTATCTATCTTGCTGCAAAGCATTCTAAGCGTCGTACTTAAAGTAAATTGTAAATTCGTTGCCTATTACATTTCGTGTTTTAAACCGTTGAAAGTTTTTTATCTAAATGTGTACTACTCGCGTAAACTACGGAAAGTACTTAATTTCGAAATCTGTTTAAAATAAACACGGTTGGTTGTGGCTATAAAGAAATTTCACCGTGGGAACTAACAGCTTTAAGTGGCTCGCGAAATCCAGTTTTTGTAGGGTTGATAAAATCGATGCGAATATTAAATACGACAACGGAAACGTTTTATGGGTTATAAAAAACGCGCGAAGGGGACGTTTTATGGTGAAAAAAAATGCTTTACAACATATTTATGTAAGATGTATGTCTTTAGGTGGTACGCGACTATAAGGTAGAGTATGTCGTTATTGCTATTAATACATTGTGCTCAAAAACATGAAAGAGTATAAAAACACATAGGTTATTTAATGGGAGGGAGAAATCTTAACGTCCTTTTGCTTACAGTACAGTTACGTGGGCCATGGGGGGGCAAAGACATTTCTATGTTTGTTTCTGTTAGTACGTTACGAGGTAGCCTTCTATGCACTACCTTTATTTGTTAAATATGTAGTGTCTGTTGCTTCCGCGATTTTTACATATTAAAATAAAACACATACTGGTTTAAAACGCGAAATATATAATTAGAAATGAATAAACTAATTAACTTTACGTATTAAATCTGTAAACGTTTGTATTAAAACATATGAGTTATATTTTATTGAAATTATTTCTACGTTAATTATAAAGGGACATAACAATTCTTTATAATCTCTTTTATTTTATTCTTTATAATTTCTAATAGGAGTAAATAAGTTGAAAAAACGCTCTGGATAAAATTACTTTTCTATCGCGTCGCCTCGCTACCTTCATCATTTTCACTCTCAGCAAAAATTGATAATATGCCCCTGGTATATGAAACTGCGCATAATCTGTGGTCGTGTTATAATGTTCACGAGCCTTTATTGCCTTTCAAAATGACAGCATATATTTTTCGCGGCGTTATGGCGTAACACGTTTAAATAATTACCGAAAGATAAGTTCTATGCAGTAAGGCATGTTATAATGTGAAAAATATTGATACGATAAGTGTCGCCTTTAGTTTTTACACATTTAACGATTTTAAACGTGAATAATATTAGCTAGCCTAGGGACTGACGATGGAGGGTGTCCCTAATGTCAGTCATAACGCTACGCTATCGTCATCTGTTTTGTCGTCGTTCGTAATTGGAGAACCTGGTTGTATCCTTTTAAAACTGACTCACTGAATCTCCAAACTAAGACAAAACAGATGGCGGTAGCAGTTTACTTAAGGGACAGCCTACATCTTCAGTAGCCCCTTGACCACGATTACTGCAAAGTTAAGTTAAATTAACTCCTATACGTCGCGTTTTAAGCCGTTAACAGTATTTTTTCAGAATATAATAATTAAGTATATAAGACGGTCTGTATGATTCAATGGTTAAATGTCTAACGGACCTCACGTTAATTAGAATTAACTAATTCCTCGTCAATGAGAATCTTAGAGCCGATCTGGTGACTTACAAAACTATGATTTGGATATTACGAGTATATTTAAAAATATATTTTTAGTAATGTACAATAGCTTTATAATAATTTAAATTTGGATGGAATCTTTTTTTATGAGTTACTTTGAGAGATAGGCTACGTTGAAAAGACATAACGTACTAGATTTGCTTATAACAGAGTGCTTAGATCTACACCGCAATATGCCAAAGTAACAATCTCTCGCACACATCTTTAGGAATGTCAGGTAAATTGTCTATGACTCCAGGATTGCGCAAGAGCAGTCCCATTGTGCAATTTTACACAAAGTTCAGGCGGAAGCATTAAAATTCCTTCGAGGTTCGCACAAAAGAATAAGTTTTGAGAATCGTTTGATGGTCGGCGCATGTGAATCGCGTTTACAATGGATTCGATGGCGTCAAATGCTTTTCCCAGGAATCTGTGTAGAGAAATATTTCGAATCAGCGCGTTACCTGCTCTCTATATTTTATTGATAATGCGTTCACGCCGCTTGATATACTTAGTTCAAATATATTTTGTTAACTACGAATAATTTTATGTCGTTTCTGTGACTTTAGTTAGACAGATAGACAAAAATAATTGTTTTTTAATTTAACTTGTTTAAAATAACACACTAACAAAAATAAAACACTGTCTGTAGTTTACGCGAGTAGTATTCATTAAATTAAAAAAAAATGAACAGTTTAAAATTCGAAATATTAGTTTACTTACTTGAACGACCCGACGATTTTAATCCATTGCAACGGCCGTTCACGAGGGAACAATATTTAAACAGAAAGTAAAATATCCAAATATCCTAAAATAATGGAGGTTGACAGCGAGATGCGCTGATTAGATTTTATATCAAATAAACTATAGCTATATATTTAAAATTAAATAACTAATATAATTCAAATCTATTTTGATACAAATGCTAATCGAATATCTGATTAACAAAATTCCACGCGTTGAATGAAATTTAATTAGCAATTCAAACGTGTGGCGTTTCGAAGACGAATTTAATTAACGTCCAATTCCAGTTTAAATTATTATTCCCTTGTTTTAAAATATTATACAATAAATGCAATCCGAAAAATATATTTTCCGTAATTAATTTCCTACAGGTATCAATATTAAAAATCTATTTTGATTGAAAATTTTACGACACGAACAGGACTTGAATCGGCTGCTGCTCTAATATGGCGCCCGTACACTTCATCGTCGAATTTCTTCAACCAACAATTAAATAACAATTAAGCCATATG